TATCACAGAATAGCTAATTCTGCATACACTTTAAGTGGAATAGTTAAGGTTGTAATAATAGAACTGCAGTATGGACTTCATGTTATAATGATTCTTTAGACATGTACTTGCTTGCAAAAAAACAAACAAACAAACAAAAAAAAAAACAACCACAAACAACAACCCCAAAAGGAACAAAAAACCACCACCAATAACAGCTCTGAAGGCCTTTTTTATTCTGAATTTTATGTCATGCTATTTTATTATTTTATTTTAACAATTTGACAGGATGTAGCTGAATTTTGTGTGTGAGAGAAAGTATCTAGGGCACTTGTATTCCACAAAGTCCTTGAAAGAATTACATACTGTGTTAGAATATAACTGAATATGAAGGCTTTCATTTTAAATATTTTATAATTGATTTGTGCCTATTGCCACTTACGCTGCCATTGGATGCTGCAAATCTGGCTCTGCCATCTTTACAGGAATTGGATTATGGAATCATGCCTTCTGAAGTTGAAAGTGACCTCTTGAGAAAGTCTAGTCCACCCAGCTGCTCGAGGAAGGTTGGCTAGAGGATGTTGATTGTCAGTCTGTTCAGTTGGCCTCTGTCTCCGAAGATGGAGGCTTCACAATCTCACTGAACAACCTCTTCCAGTGTTTGCTCTCACAGGGGGGAAAAAAAGTGTTTTCTTTTGTTCACATGGAGTTTCCTGTTTTTTAATTTGTGCTGTTGCTGTTAATCCAGTCACTGTACTCTGCTGAAAAATGTCAGTCTTCATCACTCCTTCCTGTTGAGTGAATGTGCTCATCAAGACCCCTTGCACTCCCTGAACCTTTCCTTTTCCAAGTGGAACAGTTCCAGCTCTCTAAGCCTTCCCCCACAGGAGAGCTGCTTCTGTCTCTTCATCTTGGTGGCCCTTGGCAAGACTCTTTCCCGTATGTTTATGTCTACTGGTGGTCCAGCTATGGGCACAGTACTTAGGTGTGACTTCACCAATGCGGTGTAGAAGGGAAGTACTTTCAGTGTGCCTGCAGTACTTAGGTCTAACACAGCCCAGGATATCATTCACCTTCCTATTAGCAGGGGCACACTGCTGGTTCTTGCTGGTAAAAAGACCACATATTGAGTCTTGCACTTCAGTTGCCAAAACTCCCATGTATTACTGCAGGCTTGTGCAGAGTGGCTGGAAAACTGTGTGAAGGAAGAGGATCCTGAGGTGTTAGTTGGCAGCCATCTGAACATAAACCAGCATTGTGCCTATATGGCCAAGAAAGTCAGTGATTTCCTGGCTTGTGTTGGAAATAGTTTAGTCAGCAGGACCAGGGAGGTGATTGTCCCTCTGTACTTGATGCTGATGAGTCTGTGTCTGGAGTACTGTGTTCAGTTTTTGGCCCCTCACTGCAAGGAAGACATCAAGGCTCTGGAGGAGCATGTCCAAAAGGAGGGCAGTGAAGCTGGTGAAGGGTCTGGAGCACAAGCCTTATGAGTAACAGCTGAGGGAAGTGGGATTGTTTAGTTTGGAGGAGGCTCAGGGGAGACGTTATTCTCTCATTACAACTGTCTGAAAGGAGATTGTGGTGAGATGGGAGTCCATCTGGTTTTCCCTGGTAACAGTGGTAGGACTAAATAGAAGTAGTGACCTTAAGTTGCACTAAGGGAAGTTCAGATTGGTTATTAGGAAACATTTTTGCTTGGAAAGATCAGTAATGCATTGGAACAAGCTGCCTGGGAAGGTGTGAAGTCATTGTTCCTGGAGGTATTCAAGAAAAGGTAGATATCTCATTAGGTGACATGGTTTAGTGGTGTAGCAATGATGGATTGATGGCTAAGCTCTTTTACAGCTTTATTGATTCTACCATTCATGTTGACTTGGTGTCCAGCAGGACTTCAGAAAGTCTCTTCTGCCGCTTCAACCAGGGACCCTCACTGAATGTGGAACTCTGCATGTTCCATTATTAAGCTTGATGAGCGTGGTTTCTGTCAACCTGCATCTGTCTGTGTCCCTGTGAAGGGCAGTAAAGCACCATGGTTTATCTGGTGTTTTTCCTACCTTACTATTCTCTGCAAAAACCTCATGGAAATGAGTGTAAGAGCTGTTGAAGTAGAGAGTCAGATCATTTATTGGTTAACAATACCAACAACTGCTTTTTGCAAAAGACTTTGTTGTAGTTAATGCTTGACTAGGTTTAGGAGTCCTTAGGTTCAGAAATGCTTGACTTGGTACAGTGCAGTTGAGTGAATAACATAAACTTCTAAAAAGTTCTGTTCTTTCTGCTGAAGTAAAGAATATTAGTAATTAGAAAACAGAAATTCATAAGTGGCTGCTGAAGTTACTCAGTTTTAAAAGCAATTCCCTCCTACTGGAAACAGAACTAAAGAATGAATCAACTGTTCTTTCTCTGTCTTCCTAAGAACCTCCTCAAAACTGAAATAACAGTATTAGAGTACAGTGAAGAGCTGAGAAAAGTATATTAGTCTCTGTTCTAAGCTAAAATCATAGAGTCCTTTGAGTTGGAAGGGACCTTTAAAAGTCATCTAGTCCAACTCCCCTGCAGTGAACAAGGATATGTGCAGCTAGATCAGATTGCCCAGGGCCTGATCCAGTGTTTCTTTAGAGAGCCTCCAGAAACTGGGCATCAATCACATCTCTAGGCATCCTGTTCCAGGGCCTCACTGCTTTCACTGTAAAAGACTTTTTCCTTATGTCCAACCTAAATCTACCCTCTTTAAGCTTGAAGCCATTTTTTCTTGTTTTGTTGCCACAGATCCTATGAAAGAGTCTGTCCCTTTCTTTCCTGTGGCTCCCCTTTAGAAACTGAAAGACAGTGGCCAGACTGAACAGCCCCAGCTCTGTCAGCCTGTCCTTGTAGGAGAGGTAGATCATCCTCTGTAGATCTGTTCTGTAGATCATCTTTATTGCTCTCCTCTGGACACACTCCAACAGGTCCACATCTCTCTGTTCTGAGAACTCCACATTTGGATGCAGTACTCCAGGTGAAGTCTCACGGACATAGAGGGGCAGGATCGCCTCTCTTGCCCTGCTGGCCACACTTGTTTTGATGCAGCCCAGATTACAGTTGGCTTTCTGAGCTGTGAGGCCACATTGCTGGCACATGTCCAGGTGCCCATCCACTGTACCCCCAAGTCTTTCTTAGCAGGGCTGTGCTCAATCCTTTCATCCCTCAGCTTGTATTGGTAGTGGGGTTTGCCTCCACCCAGGTGCAGTACCTTGCATTTGGGTTTGTTGAACTTCATGAGATTGTCTTGGGCCTACTGCTCAAGCCTGCTTAGGTTCCTCTGGAAAAAGTAGCTGATGATTGCAGGTTGTATTGTATAAGAGTTAGTGAAGTAGTTTAAAGGCGTGAAATAATGACAGACTATTAATTTTTTTTGGCCAGTAAATAGTTTTTTTAGAGGTGATGTGTTTGTATATGCTGCACTCATATGCATGTATGAAATTGAAGGGCTAAGAACTGATTAAAGAGAGATCAATTACCCTGCTTCATTATCTTTCCAGTGTCATTTTAGTGTCAGTGAAGCAATATGAGTAATAAGCTTTCTGCATGGCACAATGCATATAAGCAAAGAAAGCTTTAACTTCAGATATAACCTAATCTCATTGACTTGGAACTGATCATCATAACAGATTTATATGTGCTTCTTTAATGGATGGGACTAAGTGAAGGATGCATGGCATGCGTTTACCACCACGAAGGTATCTCAGTTTTATATGTTGGGATGTGCTTGCCTATATGGACCTCATAATCATAATTTAAATACAAAAATAATCCTGAATTAAAATGGTACTGATTTTTTTTGATTGTTGGAGACTTGCAGAAATCTAATTAATTTTGTTTCAATCAGGGATGGGAATAATGTAGGAAGGAGGGTAGAAAAGAGAGGAGTGTGGGGAAAAAAGAAATATAATTGTTAAAAATCGAGAGTGATTTTCTGTGAGAAGTAGGAATGCAAAAACATAATTTAAGGGCACAAGAAGCAGGCTGAATCTTTGAATGCTATAGGAGAGTGAAACATGCAGGGACATAAAGGGAATCACAGTTTTCCTGTAAGTGATTCATAGCCAAGCTAAGAGAGATATGAAGCTAATGAAATTGCTGGCTAATATGCTAACATACAAGCAGTGTAAGGTGACATGGTTTGGTAACAAAACCATGGATGTATTGTGTTTTGCAGATGGACAAAGTCATAAAATTGTTAAGGGTTGGGAAAGACCACTAAGATCATCTAGTCAAGCACATCACCACCATGTCCCTCAATGCCAAATCTTCCCTTTCCTCAAGTGAGGGATGACACAGCAAATCACAACAAAGATAGTCAGAGCTGATTTACTTTTGTTCTGAAATGAGGATTTTTTTTTTTTTTTTTTGTAAGATTAAGGAATAAATTTGTAAATGGTCATATTATTGCATCTTGGCAATGCAGACTGATAGAATTCTATTGAAGTGCTGACATATGAGTTAGAAAATCCAGGCTCTCTTTACCTGCATTTGCAGTGTGATTAGAAAGTCAGTAATCAGTTTCCTCATGAACTAAGTGGGAATAGTAATATGCATAGCTTTGTTAGTTTAGGTTATACCTGTGTAATGTAAATATCTATACAGAAATGGAGCAAGCTGTGAATGCATCAACACTGAAAGTTGCTAGTATGGTGTTAAAGGTACAGTTGAGAAAGTGTGTTGTACAAAAAAAAATACAAAACAAAACAAAACAAAAAAACAAAAAAAAAGCAAAAAAACAACAACAGAAAAACACAGCGAGAGGATTATATGGATTTTTGTACTGGATTTTATAGAACTGTTGCTTATGGTAGACATGTCTTTGGGGTAAGAGTTGAGTGGTCTTAAAGGAGTGGGGAGAGAAAGTAAGTATTTCCTTTGTGCCTTTTATAATACTGTGGAATTTTGAAAACTTTTTTCCTGATCAAAACATGTGTTGAATTTCAGATGCTGTTTGACAGAAGGTTATTCTCTTCAGTATATGTTATTTTATTTTTCAGCTGGATTGAAAACGAACCACAATGGCGACGGTCACATCTGATAGTCCTCCAAATCCAAGTTGCAAAATCATGACTTTTAGGCCTTCAATGGATGAATTCAGAGAGTTCAACAAATACTTAGCGTACATGGAATCGCAAGGTGCTCATAGGGCTGGAGTTGCAAAGGTAAACCATCTTTAATATAGAAGGAAAATTGTTCCTAATACGTGTTTTCCTACACTTTTATTTCACTGATAGTGATATTGGTCTTATTGCTGATAATATTTTTTTCATGTGAATTTCAATGAATTTGATGCTGGTCTGTTTTTCTGGTTGTAGTCTTTGTGTTATGCAAATGAATGAAGATACTTTTCTCTTTCCAACCTTCAATTTTTAGCATGTTTACAACAGAAAAAGAGGATCTTTTCATAAGGCAGATTTAAACTAGTTTTGGTAACACAGGATGTATATATAGGGAAGAGCATAATATACATATTTTGCTTGAAAAATGATGCCTCCAGATTATTTTCATGGAAACTATAACAGTACAGAAGAACACAATGGCATTATTTGATACAGTACATTCTCAGCTACAAAACAGTATTTTTCAGCATAGTTGCCATTATTAGCTATTCATTTTGCCAGTCATGAACAAGAGCTGCATGCTGTGCTTGTTTTTTTTTTTTTTTTTTTTTTTTTAAAAAAAAAAAAAATTCCCCAGTGGAGTTAACCCACTTAGCTACTGTGATGGCATTGTTGTTAGGAAAATGTTGCCCACGCACTGCCATTTTTTATTGACTCAATTGTTGGAAGTCAGAATGTGTGAAATCTGGACTGTGGTAGGACAGTCCAGCCAAGGTTGGCAGCATGCTTCATGGTCTTTAGTCTGGAATGGGGCCTGGTTTTACAGTGTGACAAGAAAAAGATTGTCGTCATCTTTGTCCTGCCTTTGGAAGTTCAGCTTAGTCAGTGTCATGTTGTAGCAGAGTTCATTGTTTATCTGGGTCGCATAAAATTGAGAAGGATTGTCCCTTTCCTATCCCAAAAGACAATAAACATCACTTTACCTTCTAGGTCTTAATCTTTGATGAGAAATTCACGCACTGCCACTCTGTGGACTGCCATTTTGACTGCACCTTGTTGTGGTGATACGATGTCTCATCACCATTAGTGATGTGATCCAGGAAACTGTCACCACTGTCCTGATAAACTTGCACATGATGTTCTTTGTGGTCCCGTGTGAGCACTCATGGTGCTCACCTAATGCAAACTTTGTGATATTCCAGTATTGCCACAACTGTTTCCAACATGTTGATGTCAGTATTCATCTCCATATGTAGTTTCCTGGTTGTAATCCACCAATTTGAGGTGCACTTCATGGTGTGACAGCTATGCAGTCTAGCATATGGCTATACTGATATCCACTCTTTGGTCTCCAGAAGCATTCAGCAAGCATTGATGAATGTTACCAAGTGTTTTTTTTTTTTTTTTCCAGAAGGAGAAATTCAGTAACCCACCTTTGCTTTATATGCACTTCAGTGACAGGCACCATTTTATCAGACTGCCCTTCTGCTGCTGTCTGTCGCACAGCAATAGTATGTAGTAGAAAACTGCCTTACCACCAGTATTTGTTTCTAATATCATAAGCCAATATCATAAAATAGGAGGCATTACTCTTGGAGCATCCTTTGTGTTTGGAGTATATAAAAGGAGAGGTGTTACAGTAAACTAGAAAATCCTCATCTGTCAAATGGCAAATGCAGTCCCTTAGGCTTGCAGATAACCATACTGAAGCAGATAATCCCACTTCAGCCAGTAGCTATATGCTTTAAGGTTAGTGAGGCATTACTGAGATTAAATCCATATTTGCTTATTTTCTAGTGTTGATTCTTTTTTTTTTTATAATGAGACTTAGGTGTGGAATAAAACTGTAGAACAGTCTCTTAGAGATCACAGAGTTCAACCATTCACCTCTCTACCTGCCTATCACTGAACTGTGTCGATAGATGAAACACCTGCATGTTTATTGAATACCTTTGGAGATGGTGACTCCACTTCCCTGAGCAGTTTGTTCCAATGCCTAACCACTCCTGAGAACAAATTCTTCCTGATATCCAGTCTAAACCTTCCCTTCTGTAACTTGAAGCCATTTCCTTATGTTTTGCCAGCTGAATATAGAGGCTGGCTTTTTTGCTGCTACCTCCTTTCAGGTAGCTGTAGAGAATGATGATGTCTCTCCTTTTTTCCAGGCCAGGCAACGTCAGTTCTCTCAGTCACTCCACATAAATTTCCAGTCCTTTAATGGATTTTTTTTTTTTTTTTTTTTTTTTTTTCCCTTCTGCATGTCCTGGAGCAACTCAGCATCCTTCTTGCAGTAAGGGACCCAAAATTGAAGATGGTACTTCATGTGCAGCATCACCAGTGCTTGAGTATAGAGGGACAGTCTCTTTCCAAATGCTGCTGCCTATGCTATTTCTCATGCAGGCCAGGATGCTGTTCACCTTCTTGGCTTTATGGGCTCATGTATAGCTGGCTGTTGACCTGCACCCCTAGGTCCTTTCCTGCCAACTACTTTTCCCCAAGTCCATACAGGTGCATGGGGTTGTTATGACCCAAGCACTGAGCCCAGCACTTAGTCTTGTTGAATGCCGTATAACTGGCTGTTGCCCATTGATCCAGCCTATCCAGATCCTTCTGCACAGCCTTCCTACCCTCAAGCACATCAACACTCCCACTCAACATAATGTCATCTGGGAACTTACTGTGGTTGCACCCAATCTCCTCATCCAGGTAGTTGATAAAAATGTTAAATGAGACTGGCTGCCTTACTGAGCCATAGGGAACACTGATTGTAACCATCTGCAAACCACTTTTAACTTCATTCACAAGAACCTTTGGGGCCTGGCCATCCAGAAAGTCTTTTGCCCAGCACATAGCAGATCTGTCCAAGCAGTGAGTTGCTGGTTTCTCCAGGAGGATGCTGTGGGAGACTCTAGCAAATGATATGCGAAAGCCCAAGTAGACAATGTGCACAGCCTTCTTTCTTTGTCTATGTAAGCAGGTGATCTTACCGCAGAGGTAGACCAGGTTAGTCAAGCAGGACTTGTCTTCCATTAATCTGTGCTGACTGAGTTTGATCAGCCAGTTGTCCAGTATGTGCCGTGTGATGACATTCCATGACTTTCACTGGTACAGAAATAAGTCTGACAGGCCAATAATCCCTGGATCTTCCTTCATGGTAAAAAGTCATCATGTTCACTAAGCCCAAGTCAACTGGGACTTCCCTGTTTGGCCAGCACTAAATAAGGAAAGTAGTCTGGTGAGCACTTCTGCCAGCTCCATTAGTACCCTTGGGTGGATCCCAGTCATGCATGGGTCTGTGTGTATTCAAGTGGAGTAGTAGGTAACTAACTGTTTCTCCCTGGATTTTAAGGGTTTCATTCTGTTTCCATCTGTCTTCCAGCTCAGTGGTCTGGGTAGCTGGTGAATAATTAGTCCTAGTAGTAAAGTCTGAGACAAAGAAAGCAATAAGTATATCTTCATGCAGTGGTATATCCAGAATCTTACAGTAGTTATTCCTCCCCTAATGGAGAGTTATTGTCAGAGATTAGATCTGATGTAATTTAGTGTTGCGTCACATTTGTGCCTTGTCTGTTTTGTCATTTTTGAAATGAACAGCACACCATGTGAGTCTAGAAATCCTACCTTAGTTATTTTAAGTTGCTATTGGGAGCGGCTCTCCTCATCACTGGGATTTTAAGCTATTAGAGTGAAATTGAGATACTTAAAATTGAGAGAAGAGAAACAAACTTTGCTGAACATCTCAAACTTTTGAAAACTTTTTCCTTCATGACTTCCCAGGTCAGGGTATAGACAGAACATTTTCAAACTCTTCTCTCCAAACAGAAGTAGAAATAAGATAAACTAAAGTCAGGCTTTTTTTTTTCCTGTTTCTTATAGTCAGCCATATTATGAAATGTTTGTGTGGGAACGAACTATTACAGACCTCATCGTTAACAGTGAACTTACCAGCAAGATCTGTCTCAACAGATCTACTTATATATTAATGTATATGTGGACAAGACAGTATATCTCTTTTACTATCTTTGACATTAAAAATACTTTTTTTCTATACTATTTATGTAACTATTTTTATTTCTCTTGTTAGTGGGTTCTCATACCCAAAGAAAAATAAACTGTCTGACCAGCTACTATGCTTTCTTTATTCATATGTAGTTGTTGAATGTGGCTAGGGTCCTTTGGTATGTTGTATAATCAAGAAGTATGCACAGACTGTGTTCCTTGCTATCTCTGGGTATATAAGGAAATTATAGCAGATGCCAATATTACTGTATTTTATGTTTGAAAAAAAAAAAATTAACAAATAACTAGTTTTGCTTAAAAGCAGGCATAGTTCTGACTGACATTTTATCATGTGTTGTTTTTTCTAGAATGTAGCTAATCTTTTTGTGCTGGAGTATTTAAAAATCAGCTTCACTTGAAAAAGAAAATGCACCCCATTCATTTCATTTTAAAGGAAAATGGAGTTAAATGGTCCTCTTTGGCACTTCTTATAAGCTATATCATCAGATATGATACTGCAGAGCTTCAAATGGATATACAAGCATCCAAGCATATTTTTGAGATCTTAATTAGGACAATTTATTTCCTGTATCTTTTTTTCCTGTGTACTTGTTCTTTTCGCACCTGTGGAAGATTGGAACAGCTGAGTGTCCTGGTCATCAGCTTGATGCAGATGATAAATGCTCCTCTTTGGCTGCTGTTATACTTAACGTTAACCAGGGGACTAAAATTTAATTCTAGTGGACTAATAATTTTTGTATATGAACGTCAGGATGTCTAGAGGAGGAAGCTTCTATGTTGTGGCACTCTTGGTTGCAAAATTTCAGCCACTAGAAAGTGAAGTATTGAATTTCTCTCAATGAAATAATGGCAAGATTGTATTCCTCAGATTACTGCATGAATAATTGCTCTGATTTACCTCCTTAGCTCAGTTCTGGTTCCTTTCCTACTATCCGCAGTTAACCTCTGTTTGCAACCAGGTAACATAAATATCAGTAGAATTTAAAAAGAGAGACAGTGTTTAATGTGTGGTTTTGTAGATTTGTAACTTTCTTGTGAACTTTCTAAAGCTGAAACATCCCAGCTGAATGCTGTAATGGACC